ACAATAGGATTTTATTTTATTTTTTAGATAAGGGTAACTTAATAGGAAATTTCTATATGGTACCATACGCTTCGAACAATAATACCCTCAAGTCCCTAATTACTGGTTTACTCTTTCTTTTTTAATTGTTTTTAATTACTTGTTTATTTTGATAAATCAGGATAGGACAAAAAATATTTACCTATTATATCCTCAATTAATTACTTTGAAAAAGGTAAAACTCATTGAAAATCTTAAGTTTTTATTTCATCCATTTCATAATTAATAGGGGTAAAATGGTAAACTCATTATGTTAATCATTGTTTTCTTAATATGTATGTCCATTCAAAAGTGAGCAAGTAATTAGAAAGAAAGAAAGTAGTTGTTCACTATTGACTGGTTACACGGATTAAGAAGCCATAAATAATAGAGATAGTTTTACCAAATTACTCTTATTAAATACAAGTCATTCAAACATTGAAAAATGAATACTCCATCTGTTCCTAATTACTTGTCCACTTTTGAATTGACACATTTATTAACAAAACAATTATTGACATAGTAAGTTTACCATTTTACTCATATTAATTATGAAATGGATGAATTAAAGACTTAACATTTTCAAGAAGTTCTACCTTTTTCAAAGTAATTAATTGAGGGTATAATAGGTAGAAAAAATTTATCCTTTCTTGATTTGTTAAAATTGACAAGTAATTAGTAGGGGTGTGCAAAAACCGAACTGACCGATAAACCGAACCGAAAAAAGTGTTATTGGGTTATTGAGATAACGGTTATTTAATGGTTTTACAAAAAAATTATTGGGTTATCAGTTCGTTATTGGTTTTTAATATTGGGTTATTGGGTTAACCGATAACCCATTAAGAATATAATAATTTACTATTTTAATTTTTAGTTATACATATATATAACTATATTAAAAAAACTATATTAATATAATTAGTAGTATATTAGACTAAAAATATAAAACCCTATGCAATAATTAACACTACTTAACAATTAACTCTCCTCTCTACTTTTAGTTATTTAACCTTTAGGTTTTACTTTTTAGTATTACTTATTTACTTTAGTTAGTTTATAATTGACTACTATTAACTTTTGCACGATTATAAATATCTGCAATTTGATTAACGTCAGGAATTCAAATTGTGTGTGTATTTTTTTTTAAATAATGTAAGAACTTCATTTAGTTACCATAAGCATGGCCTCATTTGCTACTGTTTTGACTTTTGTTTATGATTTGGTTTTATTTGATTCTCTTTATTGCATAAAGGGGACCTCGTTTTATATATTATGGTGATCGAAAATTAACTAAGTCTTTGTTGTGATGACCAAAATACAACAAGTTGGTCCTTGTTGCCCCGCTTGGAATGATTATTTCGATGTATGCGTATCGCGTCAAATTATTGGATAAGTCATATATTTATTTTGAAAGCATTTTCTTATTGGTTAAACCGAAAACCGAACCGTTAAAGACCTAAAACCGATAAACCGAAAACCGATAACAAATATCTTATTGGTTTGGTTATCGGTTTAGCATATTTAAAAACCGAAAACCGATAAACCGATACACACCCCTAGTAATTAGGGACAACTAAAAAAAGAAAAATGGACAAATAATTAGGAACAGATGGAGTAGTATTTAATAACAAAGGTTAAATAGACATACAATGATAAATTATTCATTAGTGTTATAAATTAAATAAATATTATTGAATATTTTAAAATAATATAATAAATAGGTAAAACTGGAGAGGGGAATATAATTTATTTTTAGTGATAAAAGACGGTCCTTTTCAAAAGTCCGAAAAGAAAAGAGAAACTAGTTGTTGGTGCTCTTCGTGATATTTTCCTAAATGTCAAATGTAACAAATTCTGATTTCCTCTCATTGGTTCATTATTAAATATATAATATGGTTGGAACCTACCGCTGGTAAAATGCGTATTTATTGAAATAGTGCAAGTTTTTTATCTATAAAAAGCAATTAATTAAGTAATTAATCGATTCTATATTAAATTATAATTAATTAAAATAAATAGAATTGAATGGCGAGTCACGTGTGAGAATCCAGACCGGCGGGCACACGTGTGAATATGGATGAACCGTTCAACCCAACCCAGTCTTACACGAAACCTCTCCCCGCTCGTGACTCCCTTTACTTTCGGCCTAACCACCAAACACCCCCACCCCTTTTACATCTTAACCTCGAACCCTAATCGCCACCCCCACCACCATCACCCTACCTACATCTTCAAGCTTCTCAAATGGCTTCCCTAGAAGATCAGGCCGTCGTCTACAACGACGATGATCTTGACGATGAGGAAGATGATGAAGAGAGCGGTCCTCCACAGAACGAAGCCGTTGTTGATGAAGATGATGACGTAGATGTCGAAGAGGAGGAGGAGGAGGAGGATGATTCGACTTCCTCTCCTCCCGTGCCCGTTTCGAACCATTCCGGCGCCGGAGAGGTTACTATAGCCGTTGTCGGTGTCCCTGCAACTGATTCACTTTGTATTGAACCAAAGCGAGAGCGGATCAACGATTTCGGCGTTATTCCGGCCACGATTGTCGTGGAAGAAAAGAAGCCGTTAGTTTTGGATGATTCTCGGAAGCTTTTTCAACGATTGTGGATGGATGAAGATGAGATCGAATTGTTACAAGGATTTCTGGAATACACAACCCAGCGCGGTGGTATAAATTCATCGTCGCATCATCATCATGATACAGGTGCGTTCTATGACCAAATCAAGAACAAGTTGCAGTTGGATTTCAACAAGAATCAATTAGTAGAGAAGCTGAGGAGATTGAAGAAGAAGTATCGGACAGTGATGAGCAAGATGGGATCTGGTAAGGAATTTGTCTTTAAGAGCCCTCACGATCAAGCCACCTTCGAGATCTCTCGCAAGATCTGGAGCAATGCAGGACCGATTGTCGTCCGTAGCAGTGGTCCCCCACCACCACCCCCAGATGATGGTGGATTTGATGATGAGGATTCACATCTCAACCTTAACAACGCAAATTTCATTGATCACAGCCCTAACTTCAATCTTAACCCTAACGGGATTGATGTTAAAACTCCCAAGTCGAAAAAAAGGTCTCGAGGAGGAACAATTAACTCTGAAGAAAAACCCGGGTATATTCAACAGTACTATCAGCCATCTGGTGGAGCAACAAATGTCATTCTTCCAGCAACTCCCGTCTCGATGGCCGCCCCCCAGGCCACAGCTGCAGCTGCAGCTTCAATTCCTAGTTTGATCGAGGAAACAGTGAGGAGCTGTCTATCACCCATTTTCAAGGAATTGTTTAACAATTTGAAAGGATCGAGATATTCTGGGTTCGGAATGTCATTGGGTCCAACCCCTCTAGGATTTGGGAACAGTTCAATGAGCTCTGATATCAATATGAAGACGGATGAGAAATGGAGGAAGCAACAGATTCTGGAATTGGAAGTTTATTCAAAGAGATTAGAGCTTGTTCAAGATCAAATAAAGGCACAGTTGGAAGAACTCAGATCCATGAGCATTTAGACCATGGTTCCTTTTCTTATACTACTAGAATTTTATAATAATTCTTGTTGATGATGTTACCAGATTGCGAAAATAGCTAATTGTTCTACTTACATAATTGTCAATGCCTGTTTAGATATTTAACTTTTGCCTATTGAATAATGACTTCTATTTTGCTTTGTTGAAAAATATCAGGTGCAAACAATTACACATCTCTCTTCATCCCATATCATATAATTGTTCAAGCTATTATTAATTAACTTCTGTTAAATAAAAGATGATATGATAAAAAAAAGTGTTATTTTGTAACTTCATATATTATCCAAGTGACATGTTTAAGCACTATTATTTTACACCCAATTTGAGGGAATCTCCCATTTTTTTTTAGTGGGGAATATTTTTTTGGGCTGCCTTTCTCACTTTACTTTTTACCTTTGTGCAATTTCCTACCAACGGTCAATTGGAAGTGCAATTATTCTTGTGAAGTCATCATTCTTCCATTGAAAACATTAAATTAAAACAGACATAATTATTACTAATTAGATAGCCAAAATAATTAGTGGACAAACGTCTTTCTTTGCGCGGCGTATAAACTTTATGGGAGCATTTGTTTTATTATTTATTATTTAGTGCAAGGAAAAGGGAAATTATCATGATAAGAAATATTTTAGTTTTCAAATAACTTTTTGACTAATCAAAGAAAGTAGTATAAGAAAATCAAACTGCTCGGTTAACTTTTAAAAGATATTTCCATCTTTCACATTAATTTTCTTCTTAGATTTTTTTTTTGTAGCTAACAGGCTAGCAGTTACTCTTTTTGTTGAAATGACATTTAAAATACCGAATTTAATGAAAATATTTTCATTTCCTTTAAAAGATTTTTTCGGATTCGCTAATGGCACCGGAAAGAAATTGCCAAGTAACGATACAAATTTCAACTGCCTGATAACAGAGGACAAAAGACACAGGAAGGGAAATGAGAGGTGAGTCCATATGAATTATTTCTCTCGGCTACAGAATTATCTTGAAGATTTTCGCTTGCAGCTTAGGATGCCGATCCAATCACCTTTACCATGTATTATTATGACCTTGTCTCATCACGATATTGACAATTCAATAAATATTTGTCTTATTTTAAGTGCTAAGTTTTAAAATATTTTGTGTTCAATCAAACGACATATCAACTAAGCCGGGAGTAGTAGTAATCAAGTACTATATGTCTAGACAAATATCTTCACTAGTTGCTTCCATACCAAAGAGGATGATTATTAGATAGATGCATAGATTCACACCTTACAATCTGATAGCAGAAGATGCTATAATTTTTTCAAAAAATTGGCCTGATGAAAGCTATCTAGATAAGCTTGGCAAATTCATCAGCCAATGGCAAAAACTAGCTAGAATTTTGGCCTTCTCTGATCCATAATTTTCATAAAATAATGCATCTTAAATCATTAGTTTCGGAAATCTGAGGGCCATCCATTAAATAATTCATATTAATGAAAAAAGAAATTGTGTGGCTGTGTTCTTCATTGAGCACTCACATTGCACAAGAGTATTAGGCACTAAAAAACAACAATGATTATCAATTAGAATCTTAAATGAAGATCAATACAAATACTTTGGGACAATGATTAGCCACTGAAAATAGACAGAAAAGACTCAAGGTAGGCTGATATGTTGACAATATTCTTTAGCCAACTTGGGTACCAAACAATGTCAAGAAAACATGAGAAAGTGGTAATCTTTTTTATGTAGATAAGTACCCTAGCATCTATAGTACCTTCTTCACTCTTTTTCAGTGGTACCACACATTTCACCTTTTCTATACATTCCCATGCCACCATCTAAATCTTTAATTTGCCTGTTCAATATAATTCTTCAGAGTCCTGGGAAAAGCTCTCCAAGTCATTAGTCAATTTTTTTTTCCACCTAGTTCTTGCACTGAGGCTAGCCACACATTAGCAAGATTCAGAACAACGATAAAACGACGAAGAGATCGTTTTACGATATTTCAATAGTGATCAGAATCGTGGAAGTAATATAATCTCCTCTGCATATTGTATCCCAATATCCAGCAACAGGCCACCTAGACAAACAATTGAGTTGATGAACTGAGGATATGAAATTACATATATACACTGCTAGAGAAACTATGACTTGTTGCCTACTTGCTGAATTCATCCTTTTAGTGAATGTAAGAAAGAAACTAAGTGATGCTTATAGTTAAGTTAAGATGTGAAGTTCAATTGTCCTTCCAAATTGTTTTTCTTCAAATATTAGCAATAACTGGTCTTTGTGCTTGTTCATCCTGATATACCGATGGTCCTACAGGAATATAAGAGAAGAGGCCTTTATGTATATGAATATGATAATCAAAGGGAGTGCGAAAGCAGCAGTAATTCTTTCATATGCAGCTGGATATATACTGATGAACCGAAAAAGTTGGAAGAAACAAAGGAATCATAAAAGCATAACTAGTGACCAGTAGCAAAACTTAGTAACTCGGATGAGACTAATAGTAACACTAAGTTTTGCTACTGTTCAATGACTCTTTTCTGTGTAACTCGGATCACTTTCAGCCGTAGACATGGTGTTACACTTGTCATCTCTACCCATTTCCTTACCCAAATTGCGGAGAGGAGAAAATAATTAAAATATTGAGGAAAATTGCTAAGTGTAATAGTTGTTTTTTTTGCGTACATGAAGGAGATTCATCAACAATGAATATATTATATGAAAAAATTTACAGTATTGTATGTTGTCCCACAAACAGTTTTCACTTCATCACAGGAGGTGGAGGAACAGTGGAAACAATCAAAGTTTTATTTTCACAGAACATTTTCTTCAGTCATTATTTTCTGGCACAAGTTTGTGACATCATAAAACTTGACATAGAGTCCTCTAATTCTTGCTGCTAATGACACATCCAGAAGGAACCTGTCGACTCAAGCATGCAAGAGCCATGATCACAAACAGAAGTCTTGTAACAATGGGGACAGATATGACCAGACGAACTATGTTGAAGGAAACATGGCCTTCACCACATGTCCTGCAGAAAATCGGCTTAAAATATAGGACACCCATCAACCACAATCCCTTTCACAGTTGGACAAGAAGCCAAAGGGCATGTATCTGTATGACTTCCCCACCACTGAAGGCTAACATGCTCCTGTCCTAAGCACAAGTACAACAATACACCCATGAAGGCTAATCCGGCATCTAATGCCCCAGATAAAACATAATTGTGACGACTCCACCAAATCTTGTAGTATCGATATGCAACAAATCCTGAAATAAATGCAATAATGATCCAACTGTTATAATTGACAGCAGTAGCAGGTGGTATTTTAATTATTCCGGCTAATACCACAGGCACCGAAATCAATCTAATCCATTGATGGTTTGGGAAAGCTTTCTGTAATAGCCAAACAAATACAGGAGCTACAGCACCAATTAGGAAAAACCAATTTATGGCTGAGTAATAGCCAAGATTTCCAAAAATTCTCTGTGACCCAATCAAACCCCAGACAACTGAGGCATCATAGAATACGTGATCAGCTGGGCATGTCCATGGACTGCCTTGAGGAAGCAGAGCCCTATCGCAAATATTTGGGACAGAGTCCATTAGCCACCATGCTGTTCCCAGATGTGCAAAAGCTGATATTAAGGTTCCAACTACCTGAATAAATAATCCAAAAAAAAAACAGATTTGGGACAGGTCTTTACAGTTATACACCTAAAACATGGATAGCACCTTTGCCGACCAAGCTTTTCTATTTGCAGAACTCTGTTACTTCTCTTTGCTAAAAGATTAAGAAAACCAACCTGAGCCATGAACATTGCCCTTGGAGGAATCTTCATATAATGTCCAAGTTTAAAGTCTTGCAGGAAGGTTAAACCTTGCTTCATACTGATATAGCCATACACCTTGAAGCACATATTAGCCACTGGATATCCTGGATACAAATATCCCATTATGTACTCCGTGATCACATTCAAACCAGGTGTCTGTGCAACAAAGATCGTGGAACATCAGGGTTGCCAAATGAAGAAAGCAACTCACAACACTGACACCAAGCTATAATTTTAACTAAATCCGACAGTGATTATTTGGACAAAAACTGTAGGTATTGATAATCCCAAGCTGTTATTTTACTGAAAATTAAATATGTGCTTACTTGATTTGTGGTGGCAGTAATGACTCCAATTGGGAGGGTGAAAAAGAACGCAAGGCCACATGCTAACAAAACACCCCACCATGGTAATTGAAGCTGGTTTTTGTAATATTCACATACAAATACAGTTGCTGCAATAATTATTAGTAGTATAATCGTGAACCACCATTCAGGAACTTGCTTGTATTTTCTCATGAGCTTTGTGTGCACGTCCATTTTCTTTTCCTGTAAAGCAGACTTGCTGAGATGCCATAGATCCCTGCACCACTATAACTAGTCATGTGGTGCTTCCATTCTATACATCGAGGCAGGGTTTAACTTCACTAATGGTTACTAACCTTTATGCACTATACTTTTCTAGTCAGAAAAAAACTATTGCCACATTAAAATACTGAATTTTACCCACTATAACAGTAAAATATGAAGCTTACCGTCCATGAAAGAGGAAGACATGAACAACCGTGGCAGTGAGACAGGCAAAGCTGAATCCATAAGTTAGTAAAAGGACAATGCTGAGATAAAGACGACCCTCGTGGTCATACTTCTCTAAATCAATGTGAAAGTTAGGGTCTATGATCTTTGAAATGTTGTAATCTTGACCATTTTCTTTAAACAAGCCATCCGAGAATATTGGAAAGTTCCTGGCCTTGTAGACATTGAACCAGTACATAAGAGGTGTAACAGCATACATAATGAGAAAATAACCAACAGCAATGTTTGCAGTAGCAAACCATGGGCTAGCTAGTGGGCTTCCAAGATAGGAGGATATGGTGGACCAATCGAGCCCAATGGCGCCTACTCCAAGGCCACGAAGCCCTGAACCCAACTGTTGGACTAGGACAGAGGAAGGGAACAACAAACACAGCCAAGAAAGGGAACTAAGCATTGGAAAAAGGTAACCTGGAAAGACATAGTAACCAAAACTGCAGATAAAGGCAATGAGGAAAAATTGGTTTCTTGTCATTCCATTTTTGGCTCTCTCTTCTTTATCATGAAGGGCCCTGCCATTGGAACAACATTTTCAACATGATTATATTTGTCTATATAAAAATTACTACTAAAATTTCAACAATTATTAAATTATGATATCATAATCCAAAATGCAATAGGTTTAATACCATCTAACCATAGTACATGTATAATTATGCATGAATGTATATCATAGTTTGTGCGGAATAGAGTGTGGAATAAAAATGTATATAAGGAAAACTGGGGAGGTGATTATAAGGTGGAGAATCGACCTCACTAGCAAAATAATATTTTCCGTAGTACCAACACACCCATAATATATCCTCCTTATTTAAAGGAGTGTCGTTAAGTTTAAAATAAGAATATTAAAATTTAAAACTTACAAAATATAAAAAATAACATTCTTTTAGATAGATTTAAAAAAATTTAAAAGATATCAATTGAAATGAATTGAATAGCTTACTATTATTCAGTAACTAACAATTGATACGGAAATGTGTATCAATTGTAAAAAAAAGTTGATGTTTTTTCATAATAATGATGAATAATATTTTTTTTCTTGTAAAGACTTGCAAGCATTAATGTGCTATATTTTTTCTTCTAGGAACGCTACTTATTATTGTCCATGTCACACTTTTTGTCAAAATTAGTTTCAATATAAGTTACTTTTAAATTTAAAATAATTGTATTTTAACTTTACTTTGATCTTAAATAATATAATTTTGAGAAAAGACATAAATTACACCTTGAATTGTATCGAAAAGTCATTTACACGCTTAAACTCTCATGATGATCTATTACACACATTTACTATTCAAAAGTAAATTTATTTACCCCTTAAAACTGACGTGGAAAAGAAATAAAATGAAAATAAAAACCAACGCGCCAGTTAGAAATAAAAATAAAAATATAATTAGAATCAACTTTTAACCCTCACCCTCCTCCACCCCACACCTCTTCTTCAAACCTCCTCTTCTTCACACCTATTCTTCTTTTTCACATCTCTTCTTCTTCATTTTTTATACATCACAATCTCGAAGCACAACTTTTCTTTTTTATTAGCAATTAGGTTAATTCTCATAGATTTGTTAGTGAATAATTGTATTTTGTGATAATTTTTACTAAAGGAAGAATATAACAGAATTTTGGATTATGTTTAGGTGATTTTGGTTGATTGTTTCTAACTTTTCTATTTTTTGACTTTGTTAAAGAAATTTTGGTTGTTAATCAATTTTTGGATTTGGTTGTAATTGCAGCTTTATGGGTATGGTGGTTCTAGGTAATGGGTGAAAAAAAAAAGAGGAAATTGAAGGTGGTGAAGAAGATTAATCAATTTTTGAAGTTGGTGAAGATGACAACTTTATGAGTGTGGTGACGCAAGGTAACGATTTTTTAAAAAAAGAGTGGAATTGAAGATGGTGAAGAAGAAAAAAATATATATTAGAAATGGTGATGGTGATATTTAGTGGTGGATGGCGAAAAAGAAGAATTGAAGGTGATATGGCGGTGGTGAAGAGCAAAGAATCAATAGTGAATAAGGTAGCCGGATATGATTTTTTCCGTAAGATAAAAGAGTGGGTGAGATTTTGTGATGAAGAAGGTATAATTATTAGAGACTTTTAATAATTAATTAGAGATTAATTAGTGTAAAATATTGTTAACAAAAGAAAAGTAATTAATAAAGAAAACAAAACAAAAAAGTTATAAAAAATCATAATTTCTGGCATGACGCTGATGTAGCGTTGATGTGGCGGCGAGTGTATTACACCACAGCCTGTGAGAGTGGTGTTACACGTCTCAGGGTGGTATTAAATTCACTTTTGAATAGTAAAGATGTGAAATAGGTCATCATGATAGTTTAAGCGTGTAAGTGACTTTTCAATATAAGTTCAGGGGAAATTTATTCTAAGATTACACCTTGTGTTTCAATTTCGTGTGATCATGTTTGACTAGACACCAAATTTATTTAATGATATAATTTATAATCACATCATATTTATAATTTATTAATCACACCATATTTATAATTTATTTTAGATTACTTCTTCCTTTTCTATTTATGTGGTACGATTTGACTAACCACAAAATTTTAAAAAGAAAGAACCGCTAATTTGTAATCAAAAACAAATCTTAGACACTAAATCATGGTAGTTAACTTAGATGTGAATTATGTAGGTGTATCAAATCTTACACAAGTAATATCATGTTTGGTATCTAATTAAGAGGTAAATTATTTATTTATAAAATTGATATTGTATTTGATTTGCTATTTAGAAATCCACATAAATGTATAAGTTATAAAGAAATTTATGTATTATTTTATGTATAGTAAAATGTGAAATAACTAATACATAAAGAACTAAATCACATTCATAAAATAATATAGTATGAATTATCTCGTAACTGATTTTATATTTACTAATACTTGCATAACTCTAACTAAAAAGTAAGGAAAATTTTAAATCTTGTCACATTTGAATTAGACAAACTCATTAAAAAAATAATGATTAACATGATTATTTTTTTAAACACCATTTCAAGGTAAACGATGCCACATAAAATGAAATGAAGAAAGTACATTAGATTTTAAAATGATTAGAAAAATAAGTATTTAATACTAAGAGGAAGAAAAAAATATACTCAAGTAACAAATAAAAACAAAAAATTATTTTTGAATTAATAGATAGTACTAATAAATACAAATAAAATTTATTTTTGAATTAGTAGATAAATAGTATTTATTTTAAACTAAAAAGATACGTGGGTTCACCGGTCACGTACATTCGACACAATTCATATGCCACAGCCACATAAATTTTCCTGTGGATCTATTCCATTCAACTATCTCTGTCATTTTGGTTTAATAGTGGTCATACCTGAATATGGAGACCTGAACGAGATTTTGGGGCCACCACATGGCTGCCGGCTCTACCAAATACCGTCGGAAAATCCCAGCCCAACCAAATCCCAACACTTGCGTCGTAATAATGACGATCAACGCCACCCAAAAACTCAACTTCTGCTTGTAGAACAACTTCACGGCGCTAACCACGTGAATCGCGTACGGGTTCCCGGCGCCGGAATTAGCGAAGATCGTGATAAGCACGTGCTCTTTCACGTTGAATGGGCCAGGATTCAGTGTGAATTCCCACTTGCTTCCTTTGAAGAAAACTCGGTCAGTAATTCCCTTGGCCATGAGGTGGCCTAACGGAACCACCGCAATTTGGGCGGAGATAGAGGTGATGGTGAGTGGCTCACTGCGGTACCAGAAGAATTGGTTGAGGAATGAGAGTAGGAAACAAGCGATACTGCCGAGAACCCACATGCGAAAGGTGACCACCGGCAAAGTGGAATCATCGGTGATGGGGACGGTGAGTGCCACTTGCTCAACCGGAGAGTCATCGTCAGTACTGTTGCAATGGAGTAGTTGATCTGTTTGAACTGCAAATTAATGTGTTTGAGAATAGTGGAATTAAGTATGGTATAATTGGAAAAAGAAAATGGAGTGGAATTCTTACTTAGTGGAGCTGAGATTTCCGATTCGGTATCATTCATTGCTGAGATTTCCCCCCAAATAGGCGTAAAAATCTTGAGTTACACAATTGAAATTGGAAATGGCTGATATGAGTATTTAAAAACACTTGTCTCATTCTCTTAGGAGTAATTCTATAATTTATGATTTGCTTAAGTCATCTTCGACCTCTTAAAGTTTTCTGCATATTTTACTTAGACATCTCAATTAAATCTGATACCTATTAAACATCTTTACTACTTTGAATTGATACCACTCGAACACTTTTTGCTTATGTAACATTTTGGGTGATATTTACTAACGAGAAGCGCGTGAAAGCACTAAATTTAACATTTCTTTTTAAAAAAAATAAAATCTCTTTCTTCTTTATTGTGGCATCCGCCATGGCAGCCATATAAACCTTCCTTCTTCTTCTTCTTCATTTGTTTTTTGTTCCTTTAATTTATCATTATTATCATCTTATATTTTCAGATTTATTATTATCATCATCATCACATCTATTTCTTTCTCTTCTTTTGAGCAACCACCACCGTCCACCGCCTTTATCATTATCGCCTCCACATGATTATTTATTTTCTAGATCTAGAATTAAATCTTGTCATATTGTTGATTTATGAAAGTAAGCAAGTTTATAAATTTACAATTTAACTATTTGCCATAATGTTTTCTTCCTTGTCTTTTTGCCATCATTTCCTTCGCCATCATTGTTGATTTATTATAAAAAAGAACAAGAAAAAAAAGAGTGGTTGTTCCGATGGATAGCAGGGGAAGAGTTTGGATGGGTGGAGTAATAATGTAACTATTAAAGTTTTTTTTTTTTTAAAAAAAATTGAATCTACATAATTTGTCATTGTTAATTTATGATAAATAAGATGAAGAGACCCTTCGGGGTGGCCTAGTGGTTTGAGCTTGGGACTTCCATATTGGAGGTCTCAAGTTCGAAACCCCTTGCCAGCGAAAGCAAGGGGTTTGCCTTCTAGGTCGAGCTCGTCGCACCAGGCTTGCCTAGGGCGGGTTACCTCTCCTATGTTGTTTGCGAGCTATTGCATAGGAGCGGGGGTTTTACCCTGTGCGCACCCAAAGGATAGCGGCTGCGGGTTTCCCTTGTCATCAAAAAAAAAAAAAAAAAGATGAAGAAGAAAAGAAGTAAAAAGACTTGGGGGCCTAAAATCTAATGGGAAGGGTGAGTGGATTGTTTAGGGGTACAAAATATTATATTTTATTTTGTATAATTTAAAATATATTTTTAAATAATTTTGTGGATCCAATGACATATGTCATAATTTAATTTGTCATTGTGGCATGTCATCGCAAGTGTATCTCACACACTTAATATTTTAGATTGATTAACAAAAAGATGTCAATTCGAAGTGGTAGAGATGTTCAATAGGTACAAACCTTAATCGAGGTAAACTCATGAAATTGTTGAAAATGTTTCCAAGGATATATGAGGCTCAATTATTATGATTTAAATGCATTTTCTTTTAGTCAACTCTTCAATTATTTTTTCCAAAACAGAATGTAAATTAGTGGGCAAATGCAAAATGCAAAAGACGTGTTTTCTTTTTCTATTGAAATACCCACACCCAACGAGCTTATTACTGAAAATTGGAACTGCACGTCTTCATTTGTATTTTTGTCAAATTTATGATTTTGAACTAAAAAAAAAAAGACTAAGGGTGTGTTTGGTATGAAGGAAAATGTTTTTCATGGAAAACCAACTTGAAAAACATTTTCCTAGAAAATATTTTCCTGAAAAACAAGTTGGTTTTTGACTTAATTTCTCATGTTTGGTTGGTGAGTAGAAAATATTTTTCGGAAAAGATTTTTAGTGTTTGATTTATGAATGAATTTTTTTTTTGAAAAATATCTTTTATTTTTACTAGAGTAGAAAATAATTTTTGAAATTGAAAATATTTTTTAAAAACAAACTTAA